AAATAGAATAATATAATAGTGTGAGATTTATATTTATGATTTATACTGTTTATATATTAGTAGAATATTTTGTTTTATAAATCTTATATTTTGTAATATTCTTCTTTTTTTCTCTTGTACTCAAAATTCTGAATAGGATAGTACTAATATAATCATTTTTGAACAACTGTCATATTTGGGATAGGACTATTCTTATATAGCCAACGAGTAAATGATCTTATTCTGGGATGCTTTATTCTTTTCGGTATTATACTGAACAGTTGACTTGGAAATTTGGAGCGATTTTCTAATTTTAGATAAAGGAATCCCTGTATACGCTAAACCATATATAAAACCCCTAGAATAGGGACTTAATTCAGAGTTCTTTACTCCGTATCCTATTAGGATTTATGGCCCCTAAAGGTATTCTAGGGGCGTTTCGTACGGCAATTGTTGGTGGGGGTTGTAGATCTATCACGCTAAGCTCCATATATTTCGCGACCCATGGAAATGAGAGCATGCTAGTCTAGACGTGTTTTAAGCGACGAGGATCTAACTGAGCAAAACCTTGTAGGTCGCTTAGATCGCGCGATGACGTTCAACCCTCAATTCCTATTGAAGAAGTATAGAAAAAAGAAGCTTCCTTTCCTACAGTTCTGTCGACTGAGTGGTTCTGTTAATATAGCTGTGACCAATTTTTTCTTTTCTTTTAACAAAGGGCTAGTTGTGCAAAGCAAATCAAATGGCGACTCGCCACACCCAACTCATGCGTGGGAATAAACGACACGATGGCGCTAAAGTGGTCGAGCTGAAGAGGTGGAGTAGACTTTTGGTTAGAGTTAAATTAATAAAACTACGTAGCGATAAGAGCAGAACGATGGCGGTATTCTCAGCCAGCCACTCTCGAGTCCAAATGAAAACAATAGCCTCCACTTTGGTGGAAAAACGAAACTCTTCCCATCGTCTCTCATGACTTAAGTTTTAAGCAAACATATATCGTTGCTATAATACTACGGTCTTAATATGTAGCATTCTGTATATAGTGAAGAGCCATCATATACTAGTACATGCAAAGGGCTTGAGAAATAAGTCAGAATACAAGTTCGCTGATAGAAATACATTGATGGCCTTCCTCTAAGAATCTTCTTTATACGCCAAACATGAATCATAACCTACCCACACACTACGGGTGTTTAACTTTTGATCTACATCAAAGCGTCCTTCTCAGTGGGGCGGGCTATACGCGTTTCTCTCTGTCCTGTGTTGTACAACGATTGATTTAGCACCATAAACCATGGAAATCAACGTATTCTAATTTAGTGCGCTTTCCAGCCCATCAAAGTGGTGACGTTCTTCTATGTACAGATACACGTCCTCGTGGGTATAAATATCCTTTCCTCCCCTAGCTTCTACGTTTATTTTTCATCACGCACATTTCTTCAATCTTGTTAAAGTTCTTTCAAAAGCTAGGACAAATATGGGTATAATAGATGAGATCTATGAAGGGAAGCTCGACCTCAGTGTCCCTCCCGAGCAGCTTGTGCTAGAGAACGATGTAAGCAGAGCGAGGCACTAGATTATCTGCTACACTATTGGTTCTCTGAAATATTAACACCATTTAGCTTGTGGAGCTTTTGCCTTGTCTTCCTGAGAAGTCAGACAGAGAGGCATGGGTAGAGCTTTGTATCGATCAGGGCAAAACCGTTGGCATGATCTTGCAGCAAATGTTGAAACTAAAAGCGGATGATGAGTTCAACATTTCCAAGCTTATGGGTGCGCTTGATAATGAAGACGGTATGCACCTAAGCATCGAGGAGAGTGTAGTAGGGGAAATAGAGAAGGATTCATCCTTTTGTTTTGACCCTTCAGACGATGCGGTTATAGACGAAGTAAGTCAGAGTCGTATTATTGCAAATGACATTATTAATTACTAGAAGATTTCTCAATGGGTATCGGAATCTGTGTGGCCGCCGATACTCAATCGATTCAAACTTGACCGATCTGAATTTATACGTAAACTAGTCGGAGAAATAGGAAAATCACTCGATTGTGATCCACCATCAGCAGCAGGCTGGTGTGACTTCAGTATGATTGATTTTGCCGCTGCCGAGTTCATGGATGAGTCATTAGGCAGTGGTGTTTCGGTAAGTCATCCAAACATACATTGTTCATATGCAATAGTATAGGACTGATTAGTATATATAGATATATTCTGTCCAGTTCACCGGCCGCCCTTGGGGGGACAAAAAGGAAATATGGATCAGTGAGTGTTCTTCCACTACATCAGTCTTACACACAGACTCAATATGCTGATCAATGACTCGTCATTTTAGATTGTGAAGTAACAAGATGTCATGCGCACTGCAGAAGTATAAAAGTTTGTGAATTCGCGCAAAGACTTTATAAGGACCATGGCCCGGCGGACGATAACTCGGAGGACGAGGACGAGGAATAGGATATGGCGCATGGTCAATGGATTTGAACCCTGTCATAGTACAACTATCGTTGGGGCGCGATTTTCAAGTTACTTCATCGAATGAATACCTCCTCACATCAATATTCCTATCTTCGCGCTTTTATAAACAAAAGAACAAGACATCCTATATATTACACGTAATCCCATAAGATATCCATTACCAATGCTGCCCCTCTGAGGCTATATCTATCATTGTAGAACTCGCTTAAATCGCTCGATTTCCCTCATCCCTACGCCTGATCCTCTGCTTCCTCAAATCGCTTAAATCGCTCGATATCTCTTATCCCTACGCCTGATTCTCTGCCTTCTCAACTCGCTTAAATCGCTCGATTTTTTTTATCTCTACGCCTGATCCTCTACTCAAAGAGATGAGGTGAAATTGCCTCTATCGCTATATTTTTATTATTCTAGGGAACGCGTCAACGCGCTAATATACTTTTTAACTAGAATATTAGCGAGAGGTATATAGGAGGCTTAGCTAGCTCTTTAGAATACTATTAATATAATCCATGACTATGGGATAAAATCTCTGAATCCTTCGGTTTTAAATGTCTACATAGTATAGAATAGTCTATACTTTATAGTATAGATACTGCTGCTATTTAACTCTATTCTAGATCCTTTAGATACTAATCTTATAATATACGTTTCCTGGAAATTACTACTTTGAGATATTATCTTTTTTTTAATATATATAGGAAGCCTATCTATCTAGATACCTTTCTATCTGGATACTTTCTTATCTAGATATCTTCCCAACGCGTATTTCCATTGCTGAATCTCACGTTTTTGATACAATACTTATTGACACGTCCAGTAGACTGCACCTTTTCTACCTAGTAGTCTATCTTTAAACTTTTAGATTATTAGATTAATCTTATAATTGGTAGTATAAGGCCTAGGAAAAGAAGGAAATAGTTTATAATAATCGCCGCTATTTTAGACTCTTTACTATATTTATAATATATATGAAGTCTATTTATGACACAACTGTCAATGAGAGCTGCTTAGTACGTACTAAACGGCCGTTGACGACCCGAGAAGAGCCCCTGAATGGGAGCTGTATTCGGGTATAATGCATTTCTCTCTCTCTCTCTCTCTATCATTATAATCGTACCCGAGAGGTATACAGAAGGCATCTTACCAGGTGACAGAAGAACCGATTATCTCGTACACCAGTTCTTTGATTCTCTCAATATGCTCAGAGTAAAAAGTGGGAATCTTTGTATGACCTGGGGTCATGAAATCGATTTTCTTTTCCATGGCTGTACGGTCTGATTCGTCGAAGACTTCCTACCGTGCTAGAAAACAGACTGCACGCCGTGAACCTCTTCAGGAGAGAAAATATGATTCCAACGTCAATTGGGGAAAAAAAAAATAGGCGGAAAGGACTCAAAGCAGAGCAGCTAGGAAGCCAAGGAGGGTATAGAAGTAAGGACTTGCACCTATTCACATTCTGAACAGTTCCCTATCCCTGCTCATGATACTAACGAATTATATATCATGTACGCTGGCGTTCATCAGTGATGTACTCATAGCTGTCTTTAGCAATGGTTTGAAAATGATTCTGTTGACGATGGTATCTTTAAAGTGATCTCGAAGCTGAAATACTATTTCCAACTTAGACTTTAAGCGCGTGGCGATTGCTTTTTGGGCAACTGATAATCCAGTTTCATGCTTGCGAGGTACAGAGTATAATTCCACTTTAGTACCCTCCAGTTTCTGTTCATTTGTATTACACGTACAGATAATATATTATATTCCTTGAAATACCTAAAGCTTTTAGTATAGTCGTCAAAAGCTCAACATTATAATGTCATAGTACCAAAGGTGACCATAGATGCCACGGTTGCCGAAAACCACCAGACGCCCGGATGGAATGTTTATACAGTCATTGTACCTATAGGAAAGAATGTCACGCCCACTTCTTATACTATTAGGTATTATGGAAGTATTTTAGCTAACCTTCTACTGGTACGTCCGTGCCGAGGCCATGTTTTATGATATAGAGGGCTTCGCTCATGAGCAGGCGTAAAGGGGCTCGTACAACCTTTCTTGATAAAGATGCCACGGCTTCATTGAAAGGTGGTGTACACAATAACTCGAAAATAGTTAGATATCCTATCGGTTAATAGGGTAGTTATTCTTCAAGACGGATGTAAAGTAGAGGAGTGGAAATCAAAGGGTTCCCATTTCCCAAATATCTCCTTGCTTTTCGTGCAGCCACAGCATCAATACTCTACTCAAGAAATTGCCATAGTTCTCACTGGTAAAATTTTGACTATATCTCATAATAAGTCCCTTTAGCTCCGCCGGGACTTTTTTTTAACTTAAATTTTGAGTCAGGAAAGTTGAACATCCTGCATGTTGTGATTTGTACTATGCAATCCACAGGTTGTTGCATGAAGTTATCTCTGTTCCCTGTCATGGTCAAACTGGACTCCAAATTTCCGATCTAGAAAACTTGTGAACCAGGATAGATTGTGGTTTCTACGACTTTATATACATATCAGTCCACTTCACAACCATCACATAGTCTTTAAAACTTCGAATACCCCAGCCAGCTCGTCCAGCGAGACTGCATCGTTGCAGTCAAACAAAATGCTTCTCCGACGACTCTCCCCTTTGTACGGCTCACTCACTTGCCCAACACTATGCCCCTCAGAGCTGGGCCCATACACCCTAGCCGTAAAATTGGTGGTGATATCACCGTTGGTGACTGCTGGCCAGGGGCTGGTGCCATGACAGAACTTGAAGAAGTCTTCTGCAAGTGTGGTGGCAACAAGCTGCTCGGAGGGTGTCATGAACTCTTGAAAGTTTTGGGTTAGATAGGCAACGTCAAGAATGTGAGTCGCCCTTCCTTTCCATGGTCCCTCCCAGGGGTTCCCTTCGTTGAAATAGTAAACATGAGAGTTCCCCCTCCAACCCCGTATGAAAGTCAGAACAGGCGCAAAGAAACAGATATCATTGACGTAATTAAGTACCGCAGGTAACGCCTCGTCGTCGGGCATGCCCTTTCTGATACCATATTCGCCCAGGATACGTTGCGCCACATCCGGTTGTGATGATAGCACCTTGTTCATTGCTGTGGTAAATTTCTCTGCACAGTTTTCCTTCAGGTTTGGCATGATTACCCCCAAAATACTCGCCTAAATAGCATAAAAGTGTTAGCTTGTAACCAGCATATCATGAGTCCTGAGAAAAACGGACTCACATCCATCTGACAGTCACCGATCATCAGCTCAGTGCACCAGTTTCCTCTCTTTGTTAATCCAGAAGTTCTATCAGCTGTTAGAGCATGTGTAGCGGCCGATGCTACCAGGTCGCCGTCCACAGCAGGGGCAGCCAAAACCGAGGGAGGCAATTTAGCAATCAGCTCTTGTGCTGGCTTTTCTAACAGTGTCTGAATTCTCTCTTCTGTGCTTGCATTTTCCAAACCCAGTGCCGATATAACTTGTTGATAATTCTGCTCATGAACACCATACGGCAAGGCTTGGCTGAAGAGGTAACTGCCACTCATCGCGATAGCTCTCTTAAAAAGAGCAACTTGGGAGTCCAGGTGATATGTCACCGATGCTTGGAAGAGTTAGCCCCAGTGTCTAGCTTGATACATATAGCTATCCATACCTGCACCAGCGCTTTCTCCAGCTGCTGTAACATTTTCTGGATCTCCGCCAAAATCTGCGATATGTCTTCGCACCCATTCAAGTGCGACTCTTTGGTCGCGGAGGCCGTTGTTAGCTTTATAGCCAGCCTTTCGAAGCTCATCGGAAGTCAAGAATCCAAACACCCCTAGCCGATAGCTTATCGGTTGAGTTAGCCCAGTGTCTTTCCAAGAAGTGGTCATATGATAGCCTCACTTGATCGAGACCGCGATAACAGGTAAATTCTTGTCAGCCGACAGTTTCACAAAACGCATAAGCTCAAGTTGCGGCCATGAATTGGCCCCGATCTGTAGACCCCCGCCATGAATAAAGAAAAATACTGGAAGTTGCGAAGATGCAGTTGTGCCTTCGGGAACAGCGATGTTTAAATTGAGACAGTCGATACCCGACTGCGCGAGCTCTTTCGGGGGCAGTTTATGCTGTATGGCGGCCTGCTCTATATCACATCCGAACGAAGGCGAGATAGCTGTTGGCCTGTGTAAGGTTATCTCATGTTAGCTTCAGGGAAGGAAAAGAGCATGGAAACTTTTATATATGATTCTCGCACCCGTCCTTTGTCGCATCGACGATACCACCATCGTGCTTCTCCACAAGTTGCGCGTCGGCAAGTCTATCTTCCAGAGTGGCGTACTTGATCCCCAGGAACTGCGTTACGCCTTCGGCGGTCCTGCCCCGGATCTGCCCCAAGTGCTTCGTTTGGATGGTTGTTGCAGCCATTTTCTTTCTTTTTTGAACAATTGCAGTGAGATGAGAAACGTGTACACAAAAGAGTAGAGGAAGCAGGTATTCAGGTTCGGTCCATAATTAAATAGCTAATTAAGCTATAAATGGATCTAATCGACTTAGACTTCTGCACCTCTGAGACCACATCGGAAATACCCCATCTTCGGGTCTTCCGATGACCCTTGTTCCATGTCGATTTCCCTGGCAGATGGAAACAAGCTTAATTGTCAAGAGTATATGATGCTTTGATTTCTAAAAGTCTTTAGGCAGGAACAGAGGCTACAGATGATACATTCATCGAGCAAGTTTTATGAATCGGCTTATCCGCTACATAACAACTTCCGCTCAGCGCTGCAACCTCGGGCAACGAAAATGTGGGGATTGGGTTGGAGAAAAAAGAGGGGGTTTAACAAGAGTGGAATTGGACGACATGATTGCCAGGGCACGGAAATTTTACTACGGCTACTAACGCTGTGTGACCATACAAGCTTAATTTTTTTGAATGTAGAAATTGTACGTTACTATGACAGACTTGCCGGGAAATTATCTATTAAATTGCTTCGCGTTTCTCTTCCAAACTACCTGTTGAATGGACAGATTTAGGCGTTTGCCTTGGCCGCAAAGGTAAAGGAGTCACGCATTACAAAGAATCAACCGAAGGTATAGAACGGTCGTATATATCCATTTACTTCAGTCATTCGTTGACTCCCAGCATCCAGGCTGCAAAATGTCAAAGCGCAGGCTTTGCTGATATTGCATTATCTGCTAATTCACCAGGTAGGTTAGTTGACCTTTGCAGAAGAGATCCAACAAATTGGAAGGCACCCCCATCTTCCTTGTAAGTGACGGCCCTACAGTGGATAATTCACAAGCGCGGGTATCGCAGTAAAACCTCTCGAATGGACTTTCGGCCGTAAGTCCTCAGGGGACGGTAGGCTGACAATGGCGTTTGTCACCTCTACATATACCTTGTGACCTGCCATGAAATCAAATTCGAGAGTGAAATTTGATATTGGAGTTCGGATTCCAGCATTCCCTCTAGAGATGCATCATCCGCTTGTGGCGCCAGGCCGACCATGAATGACACTCACTGTGAAGGATGAATTATATAGAATATTCCAAAAAAGAGAAGGAAAAGGGAGCAAAGTTCGCCATGACGTAGACAAGACTATAGGACAATTCAACAAGACTCATCCTCTAATTCCCTCGGTGCCGCTAACCATTCTGCAGAAAAGAACGCCTTATTCAATGCAAAACGCTTAAAGAATACTGGGACGGGATGCAGGTATGAGACGCTAGTCTAGGACTGAAAGTTCATGCTATATCCGCCCGTCTTCGGGTCTTGGGTGAATTTGAAATTATCAGTTGAAAGCCCAAATGGTTTGAGGATTCCGTTGCCCAGCTAGTATATTGGTCAGCGTGAATAATAATGAGGTCAAACAAAGGAAGCCCAGACTCACGTCTTTCAATTTGCCCATCATCTCCGCCATTTCGTTTTCTCTTGCCTTGGCTATCTTATCCGGAAGCTCCCGGAGAGCCTTTTGCACGACGCGCCTATCGTCGGGTGGTAGATTGTCCATACTGGCAAGCAACTTGTAGTCTTCTTCGGCCCCTTGCAGGTTCCCCCATCCGCTAAGCTGCGACTTTGCTCGTGCGCGTCGCATAAGTGCCTTTGCCCGAATCCGCATAACGTCATTTTTCCTGTCGTCAACCTTCTGCAACCGCTTGAGCTCTTCTTGTTCTGCTTCTTCATCATCGCCAGTTATCTCCACCACGGAATCTGTCGAGCCCGACTCTTGCTGCTTTTCTTGTGGGGCGTCTGGATTCTCATTCGCCGACGGGATTACTTTTTCTAGACAGTCGAGACATGCCGTCGCTGAATCGACAGAGGCTTTCCAGTCTTCCAGCTTTAGGTAACACGCAGCCATATTACTCCGTAGCACGGCGACTTCGTAATCAAGGTAATTCGGACACGAGGCAAGGGCACGATCGTAGCAGGATATCGCTTGGTCGTAGCAAGCCGCGGTAAATAGCTTATTGGCTTCGGCTTTTATAGAGTGAGATTCCTCCAGGAGTTGCTATTTAAAATCATATGTAAGCATTATAGCTTCACCGTTATGAAAAGACAGGTAAACTCACAGCTTCTTCTTCGGCGGGAAATCTGGCATCATGAAAAACATCCTCGTCTTCACTGTCACTCCCTGCAGTATCTGCGTGTTCCTTAGGCGTATTTTTTGACATGTTGAGTGTCTATAACTATTCGCACAACTCTTGAGATGGAGAATTCAGCATTTGTTAGTAGATCAACTACAGCACTGCCGTCCGCAGCTTATAATGAGTTAGCTTTCGGGGCGGGACGATAACCCGTTCACCGATTGGCTCGGTCATATCGGTCTTTAGCCTCAGGCATCATATCGATTGTTATCCCCTCCATCCTTGCCCCGCCATTGTTAAGAATCGTTTCATTAAAGTGCGGAGTAGAGGCAATTGATCTACCACGCTTTACATCCACCTCGCACCTCACATATAGACACTATATCCCTGTCGCAAGATGGCGAATTCTACCCCAAAGTAAGTTCTGCAGTCATCGTTAAGTAAACAAAAGATGCGGAACTAACAAACGCAAGTCTGCCGCCCGTGCGGGCATGTCTCTTCGACATGGACGGACTCCTAATTGACTCGGAGGACAAGTACACCGACATTACAAACTCTATTCTCCACGAATATGGAAAACCCTCACTCCCATGGTCCATCAAAGCGCAGCTTCAGGGGCGCCCGCAACCGGAGGTACGTTAAGACGTCACCTGCGGTACCTTTCAAGCTCGCGGAACACACCAAAGCACCCGCAGGAGCACCCCAGTCTCAATCTCGCTAATTCTATTAAAACAACCAGGCCTTCAAAATCTTCTACCACTGGGCCCAACTCCCCATCTCGCCGGAAGAATATAGCGCCAAACAAGCCGCCCTGCAGAGCAAATACTTCCCCGAATCGCAGCCTCTGCCCGGTGTGCGCGAACTCTTGAACAAGCTTGTCTCAACGCAGAAAACCGACAAGCCTGTTTACATCGCATTGGCTACCTCGTCGCACAGCAGGAACTACAAGTTGAAGTCCGACCACCTGCAGGATCTCTTCGCGGCGTTTCCCGAGTCCCAGCGTGTTCTGGGTGATGATCCCCGGATTGGGAAGGGAAGGGGCAAGCCCTTGCCGGATATCTACTTGATTGCGTTGGAGACCATCAATTCTAATTTGCGGCAGAAGGGGGAGAAGGAAATTACTCCCGAGGAGTGTCTTGTTTTTGAGGACGCCGTTCCTGGTGTTGAGGCGGGGAGAAGAGCTGGTATGAGGGTCGTTTGGTGCCCTCACCCTGGCCTATTGGGGGCTTATAAAGGCCGAGAGGCCGAAGTATTGGCTGGTTTGACTGGTGAACATAAGGAGGAGGAGAAGTCTGCGGCTGAACATGAGGCGGATGAGCTCGTTGCGGGTAGATTGGGGCGGAGCTCGGGGAAGCCTGGCCAGCTTAATGATGGGCTTGGTGATTTGGTCCCTACTTTGGAAGACTTCCCTTACGAGAAATATGGCATTCAACCTGCATAAACTAGTGGATAGAAACATTAACCTGATTATCAGGGCTTGAAACTGTACATGAAATCCAAGATACCCATGTGGTGTTGCGTGAATGAATTAAAGTCGTTTTCAGAGATTACCAAACGAAGCAAAAGAAAGCGTGGCTGCATTAGGAATGTCGTCAAACTGATGTTGTCACAACCGTAAGACGAACCAGAGAAGTGTTGAGATATAACAACCAATTTTTCACTAATCGACTGGCAGATGTCGAGGTTTCCAAATGATGTTAGCGGTAGCGTATGACATGGTCCCAACTACTAGGCAAGAAAGTTCATTTAGAGATGAAGACATAGCTCATGATGAAATCCAGTCGGGGTATCAAAGTCATTCCGTCATAGGGGTTCTGAGGTCCATCCTGAAGTCCATGGCACCCAACTCAATATTCACTCCATAAGGCCAGTTTCCAAAACAAGTCATATGTTTGGGAAGTAAAGAGAGACACCAGGTGGTAGCAAAAGAGTAGAGAAAGTTGCTAGGGAGTTGATCCGCCTAGACTGCAGGAACAGACCAGCAAAAAGACACAAGAGAAGAGCGTAACGGAAAAAAAGAATAGTTAGGACGAGAGGCATTAGAAAGCTGGTGGAATGATTGGCTTGGTACGTTCTTCGAGGGGGGGCATTTCTCAAAATCAATATCGGTCTCTAGCGTTGGCGCTTCTCGGGAGAAGAGGCCTCATAGTCGCCCATGGGACGCTTGCGGTTGGTAACAAGATTGTTAGAGCCGCCACGAGTGTGGTAAGGCATATTTGGGTTCATCATTATGGGTCTCGGGTGGGAGGTGGGCGCAGTCATCCGGCGATTATGGAGGTGTGACATAGCAACGCTTCCCATCATAGGGGTAGAAGAATACTGCTGGGCAGCTGCAGTATATGTTGGAGTCGGCGTACCAATGCTAAGCATGGGAGAGGAGCTCATTTGCTCGGCTTTCACCACTCGAGTGAGCCCGTCAGGGGTGAGTGTCCCTTCAACACCAGTGCTCGAGCTTGCGGGAGTATCCGAAGGAGCTTCATCTGTGGGTGGGGTAACAGCTTCAGAAGCTTTGCTAGACCTCTTTTTGGCACCAGGCTTTCTGGAACCGAGGACTTGCTTTCCTGCATTCATCACTTCTCCTTTGCGCTTGTTCAACAGCCTGTTTGCAACCACACGTTTCTCCGCCTGAACAGGATCGTCAACAAAGTGGTAGACGTAAAGCGGGTCGAGGAGATGCTTGCAAATCGTCTTGTGAAGCATGAGACATTCAATTATCTTGTCAATTCTAGTGGCAAATGTCACTACCTCATGGTTTTTCGGCTTGACGTCAAAGGCACTCAACAATGGACCAAAAGTGTGTCGTTCGATGGCAGTTTCCTCAAAGTATGTTAGCAACGTCGCAAGGAAGCGGCATTTCCTACTTACCAAGACCTGCCAGCACGCAGCTTCCATTCGTCGATCGCTGTATCTACCTTCTTTGAAAGGTTTGATCATAGGTTTGTTGTCTTGCGCACGATGGGTGCTTGCCATAGCATTACACATTTGTTTGACAATTGCCCGCTTCTGTACCTGAGTACGAGGAATAGTAGGATCTTCTGGAAGTCGGACGCTGGGGCGTTGAGATTCATTGGCCTCCTCAAGAGACGCATAATATGTATCGACGTCGACATTGTTGTTCAGAGGATCCATGAGCTTTTGATAGTCCCGAACAATTAATGGTACATTTACATCGGTGAACGCTGTTTCTGATTCATGGCTGCTGTTCAGATGTGCAGAGGTGGGCAGTGAAGAAGGGCGTGCACCACCCCCAAGCTCACCACCGCCCACAGTGTTGCCCAGGGCAGGAGCAGACAAATTGCGTGGGAAATTGGCATTACCGTATGATGGCAAGTCAATATATGTTCTGCTCGTGGGGCTATTGTTGGAACTGTCGTCGTAACTTGCACCGCCCGTCACAATGCCAAGAGGCATATAGGGAGGGCTGGAGCCGAGTTCCGGGCCAGACGCCGAAGCACCTGAGCTGATCGCGAAGTCTTCAGCACTGTTAAATGTATGAGTAAGAAGCCCACATCAATGCGATACGATGGACACAACATACTCTGCATTACCAACACGCGCAATCCTGTTTCCAGCATGCTGGGGCATACCAGCCATCGGCATCATAGCGGTCGAGCGACTTCTCGTAGTCATGTTATGAGCTCCGCTGAAAATGTCAGGATGAGGGACCTCCAACGTGTCTTCCATAGATGCTCCATTAACGAACCCGCCAGATGCCCAGTTGCTAGTCAAATATTAGTTTCTAGCCAGACTTGACGTCATGCAAACTTACGTATCATTGTTCATGAGAAAGCCATTATAGCTAAGGTCAGCGTTTAGGGCAGGGTTTGAAGTGTGCGGCTGATCCAGGTGCAATAGCTGCTGCTCCCAATCTTGGTAATACCACTCCGTAAAATGGGACATCGTGAAGTCTATATCTACCAAAGGATAACAGATGTTTACAGCCACCCAATGCCAGGGTAAAGCAGCTCAGCACAGAATTCCAGGAATGGCGGGAAATTCACGAGGTTGGAAGGAAGAAAGAGGCAAAGAGAGGAAGAAGCTGTGGGAAGCAGAGAATCATCTGAATTTAGTAGAATAGAAGGAAGACATCGATACATCAAAAGAGTGAGATAGTATAGAGCCAGTGAAGAAAGTGTCTGTGAAGTATTAGCGTCATAGAGAGGGAATAGGACATGAATAGGAATGTCCAGAAATGAATGTGGGGATCAAGGTGCGAATGGGGAGGCCATTCATCAAAGAGAAGTTGTATTTAAGCGAAAACGTGAATTTCACCCCGGGAAGATGCCGCGCTGCTGTTGGTCTGGAAACTGATGATATATTCCCAAAAGGGAAAACAATCAGAGTGACTGTCAACAACCCCTCGTTTCAAGTCAATGCAGGAACAATAGGGTCCAGGGTCCTTATTCAGGGCTAATAGAATTCACCATGCCAACCAAAACAGTCAATGTTATCCAGTAACCAGAGTAGTGAAGAACAGGAAGTATGTATTGGTATTAGCTTCAGCAGTCCACAAGTCAATTTGTCTTCAGTTGACAATGGCACTGTTGCATTGAGATATCCAGAGACAATGAACTTGTTGACCGGCATATGAATACCTCCAAGCTACCTCAACCCTCTTCCCGTCGCTATATATATCGATCGAGCCATATTAGCCTGGCTGATAGGGTCCAATCGGAGAATGTCACTTGATCGTTTAGAAAATGGACGGATATTGAAAAGTCACCTTGCCTGGTCTGGTGTCCCTATTGGCAACCGTATAATGCTTTTAAAGAGTTTCTTTCACCTGAAAAGACCTCCAGGTTCATCTGACTCAAAGATGGTGGTGGTAGCCTGCTATCAATTCCCTGACTGCCCCGAGGTAGTCATCCGAGAATTGCATTGGTTTTCTTTGATGGCCTCCTTTCCTTCCCCCGTCTCATCCATGATAATGGTTCATAGCAGTGATTTCGATTTTCAAAGGGTGTGGACTGCCTCGGATGCCGTTGGAGAGTTGGAAAGAACCTGACTCGTATTCAGCAGGCCTACAGGAATGGCATAGACCATACTTTCACGCTATTGTCAAGCTTTTCTGTAGAAGACGAGCCCTCGTCGTCTGAATAGTGTCTTTGCCCAGCACACGTAGCCACAACATTGCCCATTGGATGCAGTACTGTACTGCTCACCGAGTCTACGAAGACTAAGGTCAGCGATTGCATTAGAGTAAACCGGATAGATAATACCTACCATCATGGATCTTCCATTCCGATACTGGTTCCTGCCCTCCAGCAGTATGGGTCGGGTCACGCCATACCCTCATGAAACCGTCAGTTCCTCCAGCCCAGATCTCATGCGAGGTACCTTGATTAGTAGAGACCATGTCAACTTTCATCCGCTGATTAGTGATGGCCTTGCGGCCTTCTAGCCAGCCAAGTAATTGGCCGGTTACTCGGATGTCGTATATCATAACACCGTCGCTCTTTCGTTCAGCGATATATAGGTATCGTCCACAAGGACTCCAAAGGAGCTGGGTGATACCTCGACCCCCAATATGATGACTAGCATCGGTCTTTGCAATACTAAACGTGCCTAAGGACTGCCCAGTTCCATTTGAGTCATACAATCCCACCTGCCTTGAGAAGGTACCAGCTGCTAATATACCATCCCCTGTCGGATTGATGGCCATAGCGGAAATGATACCCTTCATTCCAACGCCCCCACCCACTGTCTGTTTACGCTTACTGGGGATAGTAGGCATCCAGGAAACAGGCCCATCGTTCCCGGGCCGGGAAACATCAAAGAGACATATAAGGCTATCTGACCCAGTGAGGAAATGCGTTCCACCAAGGGCGTGTGGGTAGATAATTGAATGCGGCGTTATAAAAGCTTCCGTGGTTGGGTGTATCAAGGAATAAGTCGCCAACAACGTAGGAGCAAGCGTTGAGGCCAGTCTGATTGGATGATCTCGGACCGATGATAGGAAAAGTGTAGTAGCTGGATCCTGAAGAGAATAATAAGGATAAATAGCAGCTGCATAGGTTGGCTCTGCTGAAGGTAGCACTGAGTAAGGAGACAACCGGTGCGGTGACGGTCTTTCTTCTAAAAGATCAGGTGGCCTGACTAACTATTAGCACAGCAAGAGATGAGGATTACAACATAAACTAACAAGATGTAAGTTCTTATATGATGGTCTGCGGAATCTGTTAGAAGGGTGGTGCCATCGGGAGTCCTACATGAGCATTCTAGTCAGTCACAGCAAGTTGAAGGTGAAGTCGTCGTGAGCATACCATTCTACACTCTTGACAAAATTTGTGTCGGAGGCGCTTTTGTCGGCGCCACATGCGGTGCTCGGAGTATCATGGCTATGGCTGTCTAAAGATGCATCACAGGCCACATCATCTCGTCGGGTTGAAGCCACACATATAGGCGCAGAGTTGGTAACACCGCTTGCGGTCATGATGCGCTGAGATTGTAAGATTGACAATAAAAGTATTGGCGGTATACACTTGCTCGAATCGCTTTAAAAGCACCTAGAGCGCTATTCAAGAGACATGACAAACTGATATGACAGGGGTAAAATGTTGCGGATGAAGTTGACCTTATACTTGATGTCCAGATACGAAACCAGGGCTCAAGATACGGGGGCTCTCTCCTCTAGTCAAGTCACATTAAACTTTCATATAACGCCATCAATCAGTCCAGCATAAGATATCCAGAATGTTAAGCCTGAATAGTTATCAGGTAGCGCGGAGAAGAACTACAGTATGAAGCGTCTTCTGGCTACGAAGAAAAGATCCCAGGGATGAAGTTGAGAATCGCACAGAGAGCAAAATTATATGTGACATATATCAGCAGAGAGCCTTGGTAAATGGCTAAATCACGATCCCATCTAGCAAGATATTTGCAGTGGATATAATGTCCAATAAAAGCTTATACTGATCTAAATATGATGTTCAAAATAAGTTTAAGGCCGCTGTGTACCGGCATCGGAAAATCTTACTCCATCGATCACTAGCTTGGAGTGCTGTTTCGGACCGCTTCACTTTGTTTTCACCCCCAGCATGAACATTGTTCATTAAGCTAATTTCCTTTAACTAATTCTAAAGAAGTTGTCTCCTCTATTGAGAACGGCTGCGGCTTTTCGGTCTCCTACAACAATCTGCCTTCCGACCCATCCCTTTGCTCAAGCAGCACTCATTCCCTTCCATAATGTTCTCCGCAAAACCTGCGGGCGGCGGCCTTTCCATAAACACCAATTCTGCCAATTCTCTATTGTAAGGCACTGATTTTCTTGTCTACTTAGTGCCGGCTGATTGTGTTTTACTTCTGTTTTGACATTGATTACTTGTTCCTTGTGTTACAAGGAAGCCGGTCGTCCACCCTTCTCTTTCATCCTAGCGCGCGCACTTCTTCGCTGTTACTTCTTTGTCGCGTTCTTATTTTGGTCTTTTTAGAGATCGAATGCTGTCGCTGTTTATCAAGAAACACTCTGCTCTGAAATATCGTGTTCCAGAAAAGCTAATGTCTAGTCGCATCAATTAGTGGCGGGGCCAATACACAGACAACTTCCACAACTACACCAGGAACGACGAGCACGACATCGGGACTTTTTGGTAACCTTGGAAGCTCTACAACACAATCAAAGCCCGCGACCGGTCTGTTCGGCAACGCGACTAGTGGAACTACACAGCAGAATCAGTCTTCCGGGACAAACATGTTTTCAGGCTTAGGCGGACAACAAAGTAATACTGGGGGCGGCGGATTGTTTGGAAACTCCACAGCGACTACTTCCCAGCCACAATCGGGGGGCCTTTTCCCAGGAACTGCAAATGCAAACACAGCGCAGAGTGGCACAACTGGCGGAGGCTTGTTCGGGGGTGCTTCTGCCGCACAGACTCAATCAAAACCCCTGTTCGGTGGCTTGGGAACATCTACTAACACAGGGGGATCGCTATTGTGAGTGTGATATCAATATTACCTATACTCTCGTATTCATGAGCTAACCATTGGCGGGTATAGCGGCGGTGCGAATCAAAACAACACGCAGCAACAGCAGCAAGCTCAAAAGCCTACATTATCTTTGTTTGGAAACCAGAATACCACAACGCAGCAACCAGCGCAGCCGACTGCCGCAGCCGGAACGGTAGTCCCAGGGGTCAAAGTGGACTTGAGCAATCTTCTGCCGACAACCAAGTATGAAAGCTGTGCCGATGAGATCAAGAAGGAGCTGGAAGTATTCGACAATTACGTTCTTACGCAAATCAAGATGTGCAACGAAGTGGGAAACATGATCCCTAGCATTGCTGCCCAGGGAGAAACTATTCCGAACGACGTAGAGTATGTCCAAGGAAAATTGGAAACAATGCAACACGCACTCGAAAACGATGCCAGCGATATTGATCAGTTACGGAATCTTGTGGCTCGTGATGCGGCTGAAGCACAAGTGGGCTTCCGGGCGATTGATACCCTCAAGCTACCTTTGCAGTTTCAGCCTGCAGGGGGCTCTGGGTGGTGGTCTGTTCAGGACCAGAAATTGTCGGATCGGCAATCGTTGCGGTCAACACGCAAGAACACTTTAGCTCTTCCCGACGATGTCGAAGGCGATTCTTCTACAACTGTCAATGGAGTACCTGTTAACCTTGTCGATTATTTCTCTCAGCGTTCTGACGAGATGGGGACCGTCCTCGAACGTTACAAGCAGAACTTGAAAGAGATTGAAGACCACCTTCATGGAGTCGAGGCTACCCTGGAGCGACAGATCCACGAATTCGTGACGTCTCGCAGCCGCGATGGAGCCGCTGCGGGGACACCCAAATCGGTGCTTAATGATCTTGCGGTTGTGCTTGGGGACGTTGAAGCTGGTATTCTGGGGGTTGCCAGTCGTCTCGGAGGAGTTACAGAACAAGTTCAAGAAGTGGTGCTGGGGCCGCCATCTCTCGGCGAAGGTAGACTGAACTTGTAATGAATCAATCGTTTTCTGGTTATGTATAATATAATGAAGCTTGCCCTAATTTACTCTGAAACGGAAGGAGAGGGCTTGGATGTTTTGGCTTGAGCATGATTTTCGAGGTCAGGCGTTCTGCGGTAGATCAGTTAACCGGCGCTATTCCCCTTCCATCAGACTCGTTTGACTCAAGTATTCATTATTATTCAATGATAAACATGACGAAATACGGTGTGACGAAGTATGCAGTCTAGAATATACGATTGACAAGTTTGCTTACGAGGCATGTACCCCATACTCGGTCTCGAGCCGACTGACTAGTAGCCCTGGAGAATGTAACCGACTACCCATTGCGGGTACCTTCCCAACCGTTAGACGAACCAGATTGTCGCACGCAAGAGCTTGGCCGGTTTGCGTGATCGCACCTAATCACTTCCAACCCCAGGTTTCCACACTTTCCATGATCGGCACCTGGCTTAGAGACGGTCGACGTTTCAAGTTATTGATCTCCTTGTCTCAATTTTGCGGCATCTACTTACCGTGTATGTCAAAAAAACGAAAAAATCAACAACAAAAAGAAAAAAGAAAAAGAACAAATCGATTCTATAGACAAGCAACAGAGCCAGTAGTTTCCTTCTACATTCCACATCTTATGAGGCATATTACGCTCGAGCTCGTGCTTACATATAACCATAGTGAAAATGCTGCAGGGCAAAAATGACGTGATGTGCAACTGGTTTTGTCATCCATTCCAGAAGACCTGTGGAAACTTGGTCCCATGGGCCACTCCCCCTAATCCGTCCTGACCATCAGCCCTCTTGGGTGATTTTCGCCAGCGATGGTGCCATATCCGCGATCCCGGGCATTGATAATGATGATGTGGAATGATAACAGTAGGCTTGAAAATGGCGGTCTGCTACTACCTCCACTAGAGCTTTGAGTTGGATAAATAAGCTACATAGACTCTTCCAAGGAACTCCTCATCCAGACACAATTCTTCCACACTTGGTTCTCTTTACTACTCGTCCAGCTCAAAACATGGCGCCTACACTTGAGGACCCGACCTTGGCTCCAGCCTTGGGTCATGTTATTCTTCCAAAGAAAGAGATCATCGGCGACAACAAGTTCCAATACACACCGGGACGCACATTCGTCGAGCGTCACGACAACTACGCTTATGAAGAACTTCTGCCTTCATTCCCTGATATTCATTGGGATCCGCTGGAAGAGATTCCCTATGAAGACAGAGGACGTCGCGGGGATCCTAAATTCCGTAACCTACTGCGGGATGCAACCGATGTTTTTGACTACACACCCAAGATCGGAACTGAGATTCACGGTGTGAACTTGGCCAAGTTAGATGAAGCACAGAAGGATGACTTGGCTCGCCTAGTCGCTGTCCGTGGGGTGGTGTTCTTCCGTGATCAAAAAGACTTGGACATCGATGCCCAAAGAGAACTAGGTAGACATTTTGGGAGACTACATAAGGTACGGAGCCATCCGGGTTTAGCTGCTTGCAGGTTAATCTAACAACATACAGCACGCAACCACGTCTGTTCCGAGGAAGCAAGGCTTGGAGGATGTTCATGTGGTTTACAGTGCAGATAATTCTGGTGACCAGCGGGCATTGTTCACACCCAGCTTTTTGTGGCATTCGGATGTGACCTACGAGGTACAGCCACCATCATACACATTGCTGAAGGTTCTTACGGGGCCTCCCCGTGGAGGGGGCGGCGACACACTTTGGACCTCTCAGTATGCAGCATACGATGCTCTCTCCTCTCATATGCAGACATATTTGAAGGGCTTGACCGCACTCCACTCAGCGGACATGCAAGCTTCTGATTCACGAGCCCTCGGCCGACCAGTCCGTCGCGAGCCTGTCACTACGGAGCACCCTTTGATCCGCACCAACCCAGTGACTGGCTGGAACAGTCTTTTCTTCAACCCCGGGTTCGTGACAAAAATTGTTGGAATCCCTAAGACAGAGAGCGATGCTATTATCAAATACCTTACCGATGTTATTGCAACCACACAAGAGATGCATGCACGGTTTCAATGGAACAAGGATGATTTAGCTATCTGGGACAATCGGACTACGGTGAGTAACGATACTGTAATAATTAAGTAGTGAACTCTTCTGATGAACTCAACAGAATCACACGGCATCTTATGGTTTTGCACCTCACCGTCGCCATGCAGTCCGAGTCGCTGCTCAGGCCGAACGGCCCTACCTAGACCCAGCCGGCAAATCACAAGAGGAGGAGCACATTGCGCTGTACAATCTGCCACCGGTAAACAAGGATGGTGCTCGTCAGTCAAACTACAATGACTAAGATTTGGTTTCTCTTTCTCTTTCTTTTCCACTGCCGAGCGAAGCACTTGTGACGAAGCACTTGTGAGCATTCTGATATATGGCGTTACACATACCCGGGAAATTGATTTGTATATACTACTATTTACACATTGCTAATAAGATTGTCTTCTGGATGAATTCATATCGGACAAGGTAGCAACTCACTATTTGTAGGTTGTAGCAATAGGTACAATCTAAAGATCTAGACGAAATTTGAAACCTTCTGGCAGCCTATCAGGCCACGTGCGGAGCTCTGATCACTTTCTCTCACTTTACTCTGAATACCTAAAACCGCGAAAAGCTTAACTCTTCACTCACCTAAAAACGGAAGACTCAATGGAAAACCCCCAGGAACCTTCCCTGATAGAGTATGCCCGATTCTACGGTATTGCCCGTGATTTCACGGCAGTCGATCCCCTCACATACATCGACAACGCCGCAACTGAAACACCATTACCTCATGATACTCTATCGGAATTTCAAGATCATATCTACGAGACACAGAGAAACATTGAAGATAAACTTCGCAAAGAAAAGCTCAATGTCAGAAAAGAAAGCGCTCGTTTGCTAGCATCGGTGATTCAAGATGCGAGAGCAGAAAAAATAGACATAAACTGGGATGAGCTTCTACCCAAATTCAGTCAAGCTGATGAGCTTAAGCTGCCACTTCCAATCCTTCACGAGGACAGCATCATGGAACGTTGCGGTACACAAATCCGCTGCGTTACGACGAGAACGTGGTCGAAATCCGTCCTCACGACGAATCGTGCCCGAAACTTAAGGATGAAGAAATCATTGCTGAACTTTTAGTCAAGGCTGACCAGATTCTGAAGGATGTTATGCCGGAGAAGTTAAAGTGTAGCAGAGAGTCAATGTTGTTAATACAAAGGGCTAGAGACTGTGGAAGTCTTGCCTTCCCAGACCTAGAAGGTCTTTTGAATGATATGATGATGTCCGTTCAGGTATGAATGTTAAAGACATGTTGCTGGAACTTAGACTTATACATTTCGTGAGCTTGCAGAAAGACCGCAATCCTTCGAAATCTCCTCCATTAGTTCTATCGGATATTGATGAAACGTACTATCGGAGTCCCTCGCCGGCTTTCAAGTCGCTGATGTTGCCCAGCCCTGCTTCCTCTGGTTCTTTTGAGCTTGAGCTGCAGCGCAACAAAAGATTAGTCTGTCACTTAGACTCAAAGACTTCAGATTGTGCGGTAGCGCCAAACAAGGGAGAAGGTAGCCATACGAGTGAAGAAAAGGTTCGACTAGAGCATGAAGTATCACTTGACCGAAACAACACGGAAATAAGCACAGTTGGAGCCGACAGTGCCGCTCAGTCTTTTCCAAACAAGTATAACAGAAGTGAAAAACAACGTGGTTTAGGTGTTTCTCAACAAATTGGCGATGCTATCAACTTGATTGATGCAGATTCATCAGTCATATTTCATACGCAAGAGAATGAGTGCATGCCAACCGCGTGCACCTCGACTCAGGAGCGATCAAGTCAATCACCCAGGGTTATACTTGTCGAGAATTGTCAGATTGCAAGCATGTCGGCAGAGTTTATATCGTCTTTTGGTTCCTCTTCGGTAATAGACTCGCCCAATCCAGATTCTACGCGGTGTCAACCATGCCCTATGTCAACTATGCCTTCTTCTCAACGTTCGAAACCGGAGGACCATGCTGGTGGCTATTTACATACGGTTGAAGACCACGGGAGTGTGGAAGACATTGCTGAAACAGCATCTGACAAGGAACTGGGGTTTACTCATGAGGATGTTAGTGAAATGAGATTCACAGGACAACGCCAATTGTTGGAGCCTGACACAGCAGCTCTTCAACATGAAAGTGGAAAGACGGCCATGTGTACTTCCCCAGATACCGCAGTTCCTGATACCAATGCATCCTCAGATATGGTGTCTAATTTAATATGCTGCGAAGTTTCAACAGATACAATGCTTGGGGGACAAAAACGAAGACACGAGGAGGGGCAGGATGTCTTGCGGAAAGACCGCAAACTTGTCCAGCCATTAACCGCATCCCTAGCTAACGACAAATGCAAGTATACGCTGCCCTCACAGTCGTCGATATTGGGCTCCTTGTCCACCTTCATGGAGGCTAGAGGCAGGGTCGAAAGGCGACAAGTAACGGCCGTCAGTCCATACTTTACCAACAACATGCGGCTTGAGGGTGTTGTAGAACATCAGGACCCAGCTATAAATGCTGAAAACCCCCACGGATATGAAGAACGAGAAGATGCGCTAGAGGAGCTATATCCTCCAGGGTTAGAGCTTACAAAACATCAGTACCCTCAATACCCTCAACTGCAAGCCCACGATCACGAGCAACCACTACTCTTCGTATCAACTGCGCTCCTCAAGAGCCATCTCCCAATTATTCAAGGTCTTGAAAGATTAAAGAGCCCTCCAGCTATGATATATAGGGACTATGATCAGCCCGTTCCTCGCATCTGGACTCCATCTCAAACAAACACAAAAGATACTCTCCCCAAAGAAGCAGACATCATCGTCTCACCAACAGCTGGAATCATACTGACTACTCTACAAGGTACAACACAGCTATACCTTCCTGGCCATAAGCCTAACCCACAGACGAACGGTACTAAGTGCATCAACTCGCCGCTCCGCGAACGCATCTTCCTCCTAGCTCCGCGATACAGATACCTCTACGTATTTGTTGCTCACGGCGCAAATTTTCCGAAAGGTGGACAAGGCAACGCTCCACGATTGACAGCAGATAGACGGTTGTTGGCGTCTTTCACATCACTAACAGCCTTCTGTGATTCGATGTCAGCGAATTCAACTATCTCTCCGATCTTGATTTCTCCATCGTCTGATACACTAATAGAATGGATTCTGGCACTAGCTCGCAAACATGCTTTTCATTTGCCTGCTGATACTGCTGGTTTACCACAAACGATGTCATTTACACCCGTTAACGCGACTCCGAAGAACATGTTTGACATTGAGGCTATGGAGAATGAAACTTGTTGGGAAATATTTCTCCGTCGAGTAGGGTTGAATCCGTATGCTGCGCAAACTATTTTGACCGTCTTGAAATATGAACGAGAAATACCCGAACGCAAATATAATGACGGTACACCACATGATGTCGATAAAGAGATGAGTGCCCTCTCCAGATTTATCGAAATGTCACCGGAGCGGCGACGAGAACTCTTTCCAGGTTTGATTGGGAAGAGGAATGAAGCAATTCTTGAAAAGGACTGGCAATGTGACTGGGCATTAGATTTTGATTAAAAGGCTGCGGTTTGAAGGAATGATTATTATGTGAGTTGCGTCCATGTTTGTCATTTTCGCGTTATTTAGGCATGCAATCTGTCGCCAGTTCAAGGGAGGTTTACAATGATATGACTATTGAACGATCGTGAACCCCTTGCGATGAATAGCTCTCCTATATGCCTTATCACCTCGGACTGTCGATGTTAGAATCCTCAATCCAGGTCCGGCGTGGTCTAATAGCCGAGATATGGCACCTGCAATATCAACGCATAAACCCGTAGAGTACTTCAGACTCAAACAGTAAAGACAAAGTAGAGAGGAGACATTCGTATCAGATTACTCGTGTTCATCCCGCAGAGAGCGCAGGAGACAACGACTGCTAAAGTACATCACATAGTATGCAAAGGAACCAAGACACAATTCACGCTTTAGGTAGCAGATGCAAGATAAGGAAAAGGGAACATTAGCCCGGAAATCAAGGAACAGATTCTTACACCGTCCTCACTTCGTAGATGGCTCTTTTTTAAATTATTTTAGAGTGCATGACAGAAGCTCATGATTTGCGTGATATAATACAAGACTCCGATTGGATTATTTCAACCAGTCGGAAAGCGGAAGAACAAGATGAAGAACCGATCTAGTTCTCCTTGATCTTGGCAAGGAGCCTACATTCACATTAGAATCCATTGTTTCCGGCTGAAGGACAAAGATGGTGTAACTTACTCATGGTCCCGGAAAAGAGTGAACTCTTCCTCACCAACCTTGACGGCGCTTCCACCGAACTATTGAGACCACCATTAGTACAAATATCCAGTGAACTCATCAAACGAATTGGTTGCTTCTATTGCCCATCGGATGGTTCCGGAAGCGAAGTAGAAGGACCCAAACCAGTAACGTACCTGAGGGATCAAGACGTGGTCACCGGGAGCAACGCTCATGGGAAGGCGAGAGCCGTTCTTGTCGACGGCACCGGGGCCGACGGCGAGGACCTTGGCCTCGTTCTGCTCCTTGACACTGCTCTCGGGGAGGAAGATACCGGAGGCGGTCTTGGTCTCGGGCTTGATGCGCTGGACCAGGACGCGGTCGAGGAGGGGAGCAAGGCTCTTGATGTTGCGGAGGAGAGACTAATCGATATTATTACGTTAGTTGTTGATCTTCAGGGCGGCTCCAGCGGGCTAGCGATGCGAAGTGGCAGGGGGCGATGAAGTCAATGGTTGCCGGGAAAGGTTCCAGCCGGAGCTTCCCATAACACGTAACAATTGCAAACACGTACCATTTTTACGGGAGAGATATGAGTGGATGAGAAATTGATTGAAGGATGCAGAATGTGTCAAGAAGGACGGGGAGGTTGAAGTGTGGAGAGCAAGAAAGGAAGAAGAGGAAGAAGAAGACCGGGGAAGGGAAGAAAGAAGATCTCGACTCAAGTCGACACGAGAAATTTCCAGAATGCCAAGACCGACAGCTTCACTTCCCCATCGGATTGCCGCTGCCGAGGGTATAGCTTCAACTTTCTATTTACCACCTTTCAATTCCCGTCCGACAAGTATGACTCAATTGCAGTTAAATGCGGTCGCTTTCGATTATAGAAATCGCAGAGATTTGGTTAAGAGAATGTTTCCGTCTCGACTTCTAACTAATCTATTGCTTTCCCCTGGATGTCGTCAAAGACGTGAGCTCCTTTCTCCCGAACATTATGATCTAGATAAACGCGAAGGCACAAGCTCGAAAAAAGTCGTGGTTTAACTATTGGCGTATCTTTGATTGTTACACATTGAACTCCACCAGACCGAACCGTCCCAGGATGCTACACAGCGCATTATAGAAATTACAGCGTGACCAAAACATGAACTCAGTAGCTTTTTACCATCTCCGGCCCCGTCCCCGTCCACCACCAAAGCCCCCTCCATAGCCCATCTGAGGTTGGCCACCACCTTGGTTACCATAGCCAGGCTGGCCTTGTTGTCCGCCGCCTGCGCCGGATTGGCCTCCCATCATTGCCTGGGCGTGCTGCATGAAAGACATTGGATCCATAGATGATGGGTCCAAGCCCTGCGCCATCATACTAGCTAGCATTCCCTGCATCATATCTGGAGACATGTCTGGCATTCCTGGCATGCCAGGCATCGGCGGCGGTGCGCCACCGGGACCTCCAGGTCCAGGTTGAGGACCGCCGGGCATCGGCGGAAGCCCCATGGTCAAGAAACTCTGCATGTCATCCAGTTGTCTCTTCTGGTCGCCAACTTCCTTTCTTAACTCTTGCTGTTTCAACACATAGCTTGCCCATGTAAATTCATCGAATCCGTAGTTGAAGTAGTCCGAGATGTCAGAACCCGGCCGCCTCCATGGCTTATCATCTTCTGGGAAGTCCGCATCCATATCCGTCGACAGAATTGGTTTACCGGTAGCTGGGTGAGTTGGGTTTGCATGAACGTCGATATCTGAAGCGTGGATAGGAGGATATGCAGAACCTGGTTTCTGCGGTACGGCAGGTCGAGCGCCGGCTGGGACCGGAGTTGCATGTTCCACTTTCGGTGTCACGGAGGGTGTAACTGACTTCGTTACGGAAGAATCTACAGATGGAGGTCGCTGCGACTCAGCTCGTAGGCTAGCGTGGCGTGGATGTGGACTTGACACAATGTTAGACGGAAAACGACCCTGTCGCGTTGTTGAACGAACTCACACTTCTGGGGGAGGCGCATCAGGAGGGGCTTCCGTGATAATATTAAAATCGTCCTAGCAGGTTTCTTTTTTAGCAAGAGCCATAAAGAGAATGATTAACACGAACGTACATCATCTTCTTCAATCTCTATCTCTTCCTCCTCGACGTCATCTGGCTCTTGGTTGACATTCGCTTGGGCGTGATGCGCTGTATTCTGGGATGTAGCTACCGGCACTGCATCGGCAGGGTCATAGAGATCATCGTCATCATCGTCCATAATTACCTGATTCTGCATTTTAAGAATTGAGTAATGGGTGGAATAGCTACTGTGAGCAACGTGCAGACTGTTTACGGCGGATATCGTATCTTAAGGCCGAGTTTGTCTTGTTTGCTCCGCTCCGAATATCACGCCTTTCGTATGAACGTCCAGATTGACATCGACCTTAATGGAATTTTTTATCTGGTCTATATATGGCTTTTGTACCTGCTTTTGGCCTTTTTATACGTGATAAATGGGGCGATATCGCCACCTCACGCATACAAAGCACGAGTTATTCTACAGTGTTCTATGTTTTGGATATGCATCATCACAATATATATTAAGAAAGTGGCATGGCACAGCTGCAAGCAATGAGTGATATGCGCAATTTTCACCAGGGAAACCAAATAGAGATTGTAATCAACCTAATTATACGGCAACGGCGTCAATTTAATCCAAACTTATCATGTAATTGAATACGTGACTATCTCTCAATTTGATTATTGGATCTCGATTTCCGCGGTCACGTGCGATAGGTAAATTGATTACTACATGTGAGATCTTCGATTTCGACCTACGTCAGGTATCCTGCGTTGCGCATTCAATCCAGCATAATGTCTCAATCAGAGCAGCCGAGCCATAGCTCGACACCTAGGTCTTTCACAAGCCAGACAGTCTCTGCAGAAGAACTTCTTAAGTCACAGACTGTCGGTTTAGTCCATCTTTCTGATTTTCGCAAGCGTCGCGCAGAGGTTCTCGAGCAGAAAGAACGAGAAGCGCATGATAAGTCACTAGGGAGGTTCACCTCTGGTAACTCGAGAAGCGCAACTCCATCAGGTGGCGATGTGACCGACAGGTAAGTCGAAGCGCACTTTTGAAATCGACAGTTTTCAGACTAATCGCCACGCACTAGCGCCTCGACTCGAAGCGATGGGCCGCCGAAAAAGAAGAAGAAGAAGAAGCCGCTTGCGAAGAGCAAACTCTCTTTTGGAGACGATGAGGAAGAGGATGATAATACCGGAGAAGATTCCGCGGCCAGTATACCTCGTTCCGCTTCACGAACGCCAGTAGACAGCTCTTTACCGCCGTCACGTCGGATTACTCCGAATCCAAACGCTCCACCCCCACCCAAAGCAATGACAAAAGCTGCGCTGAAGGCAGAAGCTGAAGCGCGGGATGCCTTGCGCAAGGAATTCCTGGCGATGCAGGATGCCGTCAAGAACACAGAAATCTTAATACCATTTATTTTCTATGATGGAACGAATATTCCGGCGGGTACGGTCAAGGTTAAAAAAGGCGACCCAGTTTGGTTGTTTTTGGACCGATGCCGAAAGGTGGGCGCTGAACTGGGAGTTGGCGGTAACAGTGGTGCTTCAAAGGGACGGAAAGATAATCGGCGCGAATGGGCAAGGGTCAGTGTCGATGATTTGATGCTAGTCAAGGGGGATGTAATCGTTCCACATGTGAGTGATTGGTTTCAACCCCATAATATCGCGACCAAGGCGCTAATCGGCATCAAGCATTACGAACTATACTACTTTATTGCCAATCGAGTACCCAGCTTCTCAAGTGCTGGAGGATTGCTGTTCGACTATTCCAACAAGCCCCCTGAAACAGCTCCTGCCAATGATGATCCTCTATCGAGATCGAATACCGATCAACTTGAGGGCGCTGATAAGGATCCTGTATCTACGAAGGTCGTTGATAGACGGTGGTATGAGCGGAATAAGCATATTTACCCTGCTAGTCTATGGCGAGAATACGAGCCAGGGCCTGAATTTGAAGAGAAGATGCGCACAACACGACGCGATGCTTCAGGAAACACCTTCTTCTTTTGATTGGACGATTAAACACATGATGGAAAGATGAATAGATTGCTATAGAGGGTGCGTTGTTCTTTGAATTCTGTATATTAAGATACCCAGCAAATAATACTAGATATCATGAGGGAGAGTATAGAATTGGTTTTGTATAGTCGCCAGGTTTCGCTGCGTATGTCTTTTTTATGATCCTTGCCATGTGTGCGGAAGGCCCCTGCCGGTTAACCATTCCATACCATTCGACACCACACTCGCATATCATCGCCTTGATTTCAAACGTTCAAGACTGCTTCATATTTACAAAGGTTCAAGATGGACTTCTATCTCCGATGCAATGCACTTAAATGCCGATGTCAGTTGAAGGAACAAGCGGTTGTTACGACTTGTTCGTAAGTCGGACCCCTCCGTCATGGATTGTACGTCAATTGCCCTATTGTTTCTGTAGATGCTAAGCATTGACTTATTAGACACATCTTCTGTCCTGCTTGTGCAGGTACCCTTGGTCTCTCGAGTTCCACTACTGGCGAACGTCACTGCCCAGCATGTCAGACAATCCTCATCAACCCCGATGATGTCGTGATAACCGCCTTGAACCCAACGGAGGATTACAAAACCAGCGTTTTGAGTGGGTTGGATCCAAACACCATAATGGAATGTGCTGGGCGCGCATTGCTCTTTTGGACCTACCAAACAACCCAAGAAATGTGCGTAGTCCTGACCACTGCTGGAAGTTATTGCGTATTGACGGGCAACAGCTACTACCAGGAATTTCTCGCAAAGACACTCACAGACAAGTATACGGGTTTAAATACACAGATGGATAAAGTTATTCATAATGCCAACACGGAAATTTCAACTCTACAGGCAAGGCTATCAGGTTCGTGCTGTCCTACTTGTATACCAGAACTGTCATCTAAATAAGGACCAGATATGCAGGCGACCCATGAGCAACTTCAGAAGAAGAACCAGGACCTTGTTGACCTATACCGAGAAAAGTGCAAGAAGTTCGCCCAAATTACGAATCTCTATAATTTGTTGAAATCTCGGGCAATGAGGTCCCATATGCAGACCGCTGCATCGGACTCGGTTTCCCAGGCGCTGAATTCTTTAGGAGCGTCACGGAATGACCCTTCAGCTTCGGCATCGAACAAACCACTGGGTCCACAAATACCACTGCAGACACCATCTCATCGTCAACAGTACATCTTCCCTGTCAACCAAGAGGGAGTGGAGCAATTACATCGATATCAACGTAGCGGCACTGGGAGCTCAAAGGGGGCAAGGAAAAGAACGGATACCTCAGCGATGCCACCTCCAAGTCTCCCAGGAAATCAAAGACATCGTGAGTATGTTATTGTGGCTTTGATGGATTGTCTAATATTCGCATAGAGGAGGTGCCCGTGACTCCTCAGCACCGAACACGCCTCACAGGCCAGTCACTTCCTTCCACAAGAATGCCACACTTACCACCAAACAGCATCGTGCTTGAGCGATTCCGGGCTGAGCCTATTGCAACTGGTTCTCTTGCTGCTGATCATTCTTCGACGAATCGGGAAAACACACAATTGCAAACCCGTGGTCAAACGGGCAACGGCCCCCCAGGAACAACAACCTTCTTCGATAACACGATAATATAGATTCGAAGACCAGATGATGACGCACGTGCAAGCCATGCAAGTCCTCCTTTTTATCTCTTTGCCATTGATGCGATCTGTTATCTTGATTCTTCTGTACGAACTATAGTTCGTGGCCAACGGTATATATAGACCCTGAATATATTATCACGGTATTCAGCATTGAAATTTGACCAGAGAGTCGACCGTCTTCAGAAAATTCCAGTACGCTAAATCAAAGTATTCAGAAATTTATTCATATAGAAACCAGGAAAGTAAATATCTTACCTATAAGAAGCGCGATGTTCCGAAGTGTGCTAACCGGCGTTATAAATTGAAGCGCCTCCATTCGTCCGATGGAGTCTATGCACCCACCTACTTCAATATCACTCAATTCAATCTCTAGGGAGCTACCCTGTCACTGGAATAAACCAACTTGAACATATACAGGTAGTCGAAGATATAAATCGCTCAACCCAGTAACCCTAGTACAAAACCCCAAAGCGTACCCTCTCCTACCCAATACACACAGCCAGCTTACCAGCATGTCCCACCTCCAAAGCCCTAATATCAAAACAACCACCACCACAAACCAAAGCCATGAAAAAAAGACCAACGAAAAAAAGAAAAAATCGACAGAGATAAGATCACAAACTCAATGGCCCCTCAAATCCACACTCAAGCTCCATCCACCTGCAAAGGCCCGTCCCGTCGGCTCCGTCTCAAGCCATACCCTCTTACCATTCCCAAGATAGTGGTCCTCCGTCCATCCGGGACGTCCCCATCTCGGACGTGCGGAAGTTACTCACAACAGAACAGCCCGATTCCACCACACAGACCTTATTCCACGAGTTTATTCTAGTTTCTGCATGGATCGAGATCGCTGGATCATCTGGGGTTTGTCATTGAGGTTATCTCTTAGTGGTATTTTTGATTGTAGTTTATTTTGACTCCTGTTTTAGAGTTACTGTATGCATGTTGTATTTATGGGTATTGATTTTTTACTTCCTATACATTACTAGGCTGGATTTTGGTGTGCGTTTGGCGCTTTTTTGGATAACTGCCTTCCTTCCTTGCTTGCTTGCTTGCTTTCTTTCTTTCTTTTTTTTCTTGCTCTTTTATTTCCCCCCAGCATTATTACTTTCTTTTCTTTTCTTTTCTGGTAGACCCTTGTTTCCTTGGCTTCTAATGTGAGTCTTGGACTTGGACTACTAGTTACGCATCATTTGTTAAGTTTACGTAGGAACGAATAGCGTAACGTTGGTAATCGTGTCTTATTAACGACTAACATCGCAGAATCATGTATCTCATGCCCTGCAAGACCAAGTCTAAATTTCAACTCCATACAATGGATATCCCGTCTCCTTGGCCCGAAAATCAGGTCGAGGTTTTGTCCAACTGCTCGCTCTTTGCCCACAGGTGAAAATATAAATAAAATGAAACCATATCATGCCATGCGTTCAGAAACGAAATGCACACGTAAGATTAAATTAAGTAGAATCAAAGAAAAAGGAAAAGGGAAATTCTTTAAGCAGAGAACTCCTTGACATCAGACTTCTTGCCTAGGAGAGCAAGAGGAACGATACCACTGACGTGCATCTCAGGGCCGTAGACGTGCATGTCG